TCATGTATCCTCCTTTGAACTACACTACTCTCATCTTCACCTTCCTTTTAATGTGAATGACTAATAGTGACTACCTGCTTTTAAATGTCTTGTTTAAAAGCAGCTGGTCTTTTAAACAATACTTTTTTTTGTTACCTTTCTCTGTCCTTCATCTTGGATAGTACTAAATATTAATCTCAGAGCTTTTTGGCAGACAGGTGTTGTAAGCAATATGGAAGGTGCTCTCTCTTCCCTTGTGTCTTTTAACTTTTCTTCAGTCATGTGCTGCGGGGACTGCAGGTTTTACAGGAACTCCTTATTCATTCCACCATCAAAACAAAAAGGTGGTGGTTTTGTATTTTCTTGCTTTCAAAATTGATCTTATTTTAGGGGACCAGTAATCTTCCCTAACATACAACATCTTGGGGCTGGACTCGATGATCTTCCGAGGTCCCTTCCAGCCCTAATGTCTATGAAATCTATTTTCATAATCTCCATGCTAGTAAAAAACATGTCTGAAGAGGTAAACATTTTTGTGGGTGATATCTTTCATTGGGCCATCAGCATAGCTGGGATAGACACGTTTTCAAATGTAATGCATTCTTCTTCATCACCTCACATTTCCTAGACCATCATGACTACAACATCACTTCAACACTTCCAAAAACATCTGAAGATATATACAGTATATTTTTTTTCTGGGTTGGTGGGGTCCAGGAGGGTTTGGTGGGATCAGGGGGGCAAGTGGCATCTATGGGTGGGGATTGGGGAACTAGCAAAATCTGCAGGAGGGCATTGGGGCATTGATGGGGTCTGGGAGGGTTTGGTGGGATTGGGAGTCTTGGGGAGGTGAGGGGTAGCTAGTGGGGTCCACAGGGGGAATGGAAGGGTTCTTCCCCACCTGGACCAGGGGCTATTTTGTAGGCTTGCCCCCCCCCGCCCCCCCCAACCCTGCAGTATATTTTTTTAGTGATACATAATACTGACTTTGTGTAAAAAGCAGCACAGATACAAACCTTATCTTTACATTTTTTAAGTATTTGAATCCTACACAACATCAGCAGACTAACACTATAATTTAGGTGCAAATTTTGGCCTCAATTAATTTAGGCTTCATACACATCTAATTGAGGATTATTTTTTGAGTATGTGTTAGTATACATCTCACTCTAATCAAGCATGTGTTCCAGCTGGAAAACGTTTGGAATAGTAGTGTCCATGTTCAGTGGCAGTTACCTACGATCAGTTCCCTTTTTACTAGTTGTGACAACAAGATGGAGCGTGGACGATGTCAACTACTTCAGCGCTTATCAACCTTTTGAAGAACTGCCTTCCTCTAATTCTTCTATTTAACAGGACATTTGAAAACAAACAAAAAAAGAAAGGAAGAAGAAGAAGAAAAAAAAAAGCCCTCCATTTTCATTGTCTGAGAGTTCCTTGCTACTGCCATCATTGCAAGTTCCAGATTTGGAAGATTTAAATTATGCTTAAAGTGGCATATACCTGATCAATGGGTAGATCAGATAGCTCTTAAACCTTGAGGAATGACATTCTTAGCAAAAACTTAATCTGCCACCCTTTACCCTGTATCTCAAAACCCAGGGGCATAAGACTCCAATTAAATTTACTGAAGCAATATTTAAAAACTTGTGATGATAAGCAGGCAGTATAGTCAAAGTTTGAACAGAGAGACTGATATAAAAAAAGACATCATCCTTGGCACTGGCACCAGCAGAAACATATTTGTCACTAAATGTCTTGGCTCTGGTAGCTTTAGTATCAACTCTAGGGTGGACTGTGCTAGAAGTCTTCTACCTTAGAGGTAGACTTGCACTGTTCTAAGTTCCACAAGATCATTTTACTTAAAGGACTTGAAACAGTACCTTGGAGACAATCTGTCTCAATCCACATCAGCATTGAGGACTGAGGGACAAACTGTTAGTCACAAAGAAGATCTCAGATACTGAAATATATCCTGGTACAGAGAGGGATCATATTTTCCTGATCAACATCATTTATTATTTTGGCACTGGGACTGGGATTGGTACAGATCTTTGTATCATTTCCGCTATTGCTTGTTGCCATTCTCTCCCGGATCCTTCTTCTGTTCTGTACAAATCTGGGAGCTTTGTCTGCTCTCAGTTCATCAAGGAACATGAGAGAGTTTTAGACAAACTGGTGCATGATGCTTTTTGATGTGGGAGAGGATAACTTCCTTGCTATGTAAGCTTCCACAGGATTATAGAGTAGTAGTTAAGGAGACTGTTAGAGGGCCAAGATTGTACTGTAGGTAACTCAGATGTTTCAGCTATGGCCATAAGCTCTAGTAAGTACAGCTTGCTTCTTGATTGCAGGGATCTTGTGTTTTGGAGGAACTGAAAGCAATGGAGGGAGCTCTTGCAGTGAGAGAAATGAACTCTCCAATTCCATGAAGGATTACAGGACAATGCTGAGGCCACTAGGGGCTGCAGTCCAGCCCCATACATAAGCATTACATGTACTGTTCATAGCTGCTAACCAAAATACCTGCCCAGATAACATACCCCCCAAAACAAACAAACAAAAAACCCCCAACCAACCAGCCAACCAACCAAACAGCTTCTAGAAATTGTGGTGTGCATAATAAGCAAGGAAATACGGTAACAGCAGTTTCTGCTGCTTAACTTCAGCTCTCTTTTGCCTGGCAGAACAATGCGTAGGCTCAGCTTCCTAGCTGCTGCTACTCAAATACTTACTACAAGGTGTTTGTTTTATTCTAGGGTGTTTGTATGCAGATAAACACTAGGTCTGTGCAACACTTTGGTAGCTGATTCAATTCAGAGGAGATCTGGCCCAATTTTCAGGATCCAAATCTCTGAATCTGATTCAAATCAGGAGACCAAGTAAAAGCTCTGAATCGATTCGAAGCACCCGAATAGATGAATGTCGGTTGTAACCAGGATAAATCTTAAACCCTTAAATACTTCTCTCTCCATTCATTTATTGAATAGGGTAATATCTCATCCAGTTATGAAGGTATTGATTTGCCTTGTATTAAGTTTACAAATAATTGCAGGTGCTTGCTAGATCTTTCTTCTTTTTTTTTCTGCAGCTGTTTTGTCAGCAGTGTACCTAATGCAGGAAATTCTGTCCCCTTGTTGCTGGCTTGGTAGCTCAGATCACCATGGTGTAAAAAGAGAACCATTTGTGACCCTGTTTCTGACCAGATATTAGTCACAAATATATTGAGGATCAGTGGTGAGCTTATCTTGACTGTCTACAAATGCAGTAAGCTCAGAGACGTCAGACTCAGTTTGTATGTTTGGCGGTTATCCATGTTTTGCAACACTGTGCATATATTGATAGATGATGGCTCCCATGCTTGTTCAGTCATGCCCTGCACTAGCTAAAAAGCCCGCTAGCATCTGATCTGTGAAGTAACTCAAGTCCAGCATGTAATGCTTGACAAAAGTGAGTGTACTGCTCCATTTACCTGCTAGCTCAGATGCCAGATTCAAGGGAGCAGGACTCCATTCTCCTATTCAGCTGATGTTGCTAATGTTCATTATTCCCATTCTACTGAGGACGTGCTACATGCCACTCTGCTATATTGGGATTCACAGTGGGAATTCACAGTTGGGATTCACTTGAAGAAAAAACATTATTTAACTTAAAGTAACTGTGGTGCTTAGAGATGCCATTGTCACTATGGATCCCTTGATCCATCTTTTTATTATTGCTTTAGAAGTCATAAGTAGATACTGGCTTTGAATTGTAAGGAAGCTAAGTGAGGCTTAAGACAGCTGGGCCTTTTATACCCTGGTATGGGAGCATGAGGTATACAATGAATGTGTGGCTCCAATACATGCTACTATTCAGTGGTTCCAAGCTCGTGACCATGAAACATGCTTAGCTACAAATAGGATTCATACTAGCTGTAATATCTTGAACCACAATTACTGTTCTTTCTAAATTACTCTATTTACAACAGATGTTGTTTGCTGCTTGTATAAATTACTTGTAAAGGTTTTTCTGCCTTTCACTTTGGTGTGATGAAGTGCTTATTTATCATAAACAAGATACTGTTCTTGTGCTATAGAATACATTTGAAATACTCTAACACATGAAAATGCATTGGAGGGTGCATTCATATTGGTACATATTGTACAATAAAACTTGGTTCATTTAGCTGTTAGTCAAAGTTTGGCATTATGTGAAGCTTTGTTTCTCACATATGTTTAAAGTCAGCTGAATAGCTTTTGTTTTGCAAGTTTTAGTCTGTGTTCTGAATAAGCTCCGAGGCTAGAATATGTGAAATTGTAGCTCCATTAAACTTCATGGCAAAACCACCACCAGTTTCAGGGGAGCTAGGATTTGACCCAGTAGTTATCTTATGTCCAGTTCAATGTACTATATCTGGTAGGAATGTGTGTACATTTGCTGCTTTCTATACATATTGTAACTGATACATCCTGCATATACCAAAAAGCACCTTCCTGTACCATATTGCAACACTTGCAACAATGTATTTCTCTGTCCTTGCATATACAACCCCCAGAAGTGCTAGCCATACTTTTTTTTTTTTAATAGACAAAGGATATTGAAGTACTTAAAAGTACAGAAACCTATAACATTGTATTTGGACACACTCATTGTGGAGCTTTCCTTTTAGTACAATTATGACCATTGTCCTAGCAGTATTTTTTTAGAATTATGCTACAACCTACTTTCCATAAAATCTATACTTATTTATATACGTGTGTGTGTGTGTGTGTGTGTGTGTGTGTGTGTGCACGCATGTGTATAACTGATATAACTTCTAGAATTCAGACAGTTTTTTTATAACTTAAAACACTTTTAAAGTCAGAATTAAAATTATTTAATCTTTAAATTATGACTTCCAGTTTATGTCTGTGCTATAGAATTTCTCTTGAAACTTTACTGTAACCAGGTATTCGCACATGATCTCTGCATTCCCATTTATGGATGTTATGCTACTTAAAATTTAACACTTCTTTCTTATAATTATTACATCTTTGCAGGCAATAATAAATAGCACCATCACCCCCAACATGACATTTACTAAAACATCCCAGAAGTTTGGCCAGTGGGCAGACAGCAGGGCGAATACTGTCTATGGCTTGGGATTTTCCTCTGAACATCACCTTTCAAAAGTAAGTAAACCATAAAACTTGAGTAATAGACAAAAGTATTTTTGTGGCCAGGCAGGGGAAGACTAACATAGCTAGATCCACATTCAGATCTTTTCTTGGCCTGGTGCTCAGTAAAGGCAAGGCACTGTTTACAAATTTTGTGAATCGCCCTTATAACATGGAAGGACAAAAAAGAGCTTAATTCAGTTTTTCTTTTTCCTTGGGTTTTTTGTTTCTCTTTTTCTAGCTGAATTTTTACTGTATCCATTATAACTCAGGAAAAGTGTCTGTACTAATGTATCAGTATTTTAATTGTGTGTGTGTGTGGGGGGGTTAAATGTAGTATTTCTGTTGTTAACACTTATACAAATCAAGATTTCTGTTCTCAGATGAACATACTTTGTATTTGCTATGTCAGCATTGCAGTGCGAGCAATAGACTACAGATTGTCACTGGTGTGTGCAGTAGTTAAATGCACTTGCTAAAATGAGAGAGTCCTGAAAAGGGTTTTCTGGAGAGCTTTGGCCCTTCCAGGAAACCCCTAATTTTGCTTTTCTTAGAGCAACCGAAAGTCTGGTCTAAGAATTATGTGGGGGGCACCTGCCCAGGTGTTAAGCTAGGATACACGAACTTGAACCAGTCCCTTGCATCAGACTGCTTCTCTTTTAAACTGTTTCCTGATAAATATCTGGTCCATGCATACAGCGTTGAGGTGCATACGTAAAATTATTTCTACTTTTCATTATCAAATTACAATAATTCCTAGAAGTCCAAGAAAATTATGAATGATTATATGATAAATATGCTTCTTTGTTCACCTGCATACCACTGCACAAAAAGATGGTATTGTTTGTGTGCATTGGTGCATATACCCAAAAGGCTGTTACTTTCTAACATGCCACAGTCCTTTTCTGAAAGTTTGTGGCATTTAACGTTCAGTGCATGTTCAGCATGCTATTTTTATAGTGTCATGCCTTAATTATTGAATGTACACTTTTCCAATCTAATCTTCCAATCTTTGTTCAGGACCACAAACTCATACAGCTGAACTGAAAGCATTACTTAAAAAAAATAATAAAAAAAAAAAAATAGATGGATATCTGAATGCAAAAAAAGGTTTGGAAAAGTTCTTAGTAGGAGAAAAGAATCACTTTAATCTGTTCAGCCATTTATATGGGTATGTACTGGTTTATTTAGTAGCTATAACACTGGATCATGACTTGAAGAGTCAATTCATAATCCCAACTCTGCCAGGGACGATGGGAAGAGACTTCTCAGGTTCTCAGGCCACTGAATCCACCCTGC